AAGTGAAAAGAACAGCAAACAGCCAGATAGTTGTGTTGTTGGATGAGCAAGGGGAAATTTAGGCATAATTTTTTGCAGACTCAATGTAGTTGGAAAAACAGAGAGAAAGACACATGAGGTCTCAGGTTCAACTCCCATCAGAGACAAAACACTAGGTGATTTTTTCCCATCTGTTCTAGCCTTCGTGGATAGAATTATCAGGTACTTGGTAGTTTCAAAAAAAAGAGTTATCAGGTACTTGTTGTTGGTGGAAGGTGACAGGTATACCGTGAAACTAGTCGAGGTGCGGGCACGCTGGCCCAGAAACCATGGTTTAAAAAACAAAATAATCTAACTGCCAATCATAAGTCAACCTATTAGACTAGAAATCATTGTTGCGTCTCTGAGAAAAAACAAAAAGACAAAAATTTGATGAGCATAACCTTCAATTTTTATCGCACAATGATGACTTTCACCTGAAAACAAAAAAATACCATTTCCAGAGTTCCAAAGAGTCCTTCATCAACTAGCGATCCCAAATACCAACTTTGACTTCAGGATAGTTGCAGGGAGAAAAACTAAAAGAAGTACCTTGAGAAGGTATACCATGTTTTTTCTATAACGAATAAATTGGAACCTTGAGGGGAACAATCATGCTTTTTGCACTACAAGTAAAGAGCCAATACCAAAAGGCACATGGTGGTATTCATTATCTGTAGAAGGGGATTGTGCTTTAAACAGACTTCTAAGATCTGTATGACGTGCTAGCAGTATGAAGTGGTAAGCAAACTGTATCTGATAGTACTAGTCATAAATAAATCTAGGATATCTGGAAATTTTGAGTTTGCAACTAGAAAGCAAAAGATCTCCGAATCAATGGCTTCAACTTGAGTCGCGACAAAACTCCATATGCTCCATTCAGAGCTTTTCTAAACCAAGTTGATAATAAGTCCTAACTAAGATTTCTCCCATGATTGGGATTACGTTGTCAGTTTAACTTTCAGAAAAGAGAAACAATACCAAAGCAAAACCAAATACCAGAGGGGTTATAAAAGAGAAGGCAAAAGGGAGAAGCCGTAGTACTGTTACACCTGATCTGCAATGAAGTTTCCACCCGTGAAGCTGGAAGACTGTAAGACTCAGCAGATTTGCAAATTCCATGCAGCAAATAATCCACAGATATAATATAGACATTAGAGGCTACAAAGGTGCTTGTCATACCAGTAAGCCACTTTTATGCTTTGGTAATTTCGTGAATGAGTCTACTGAAAATCGAGCAAATTCATAACTTGTAGATTCATGGGGCAGCAATTTCGAAATACTAATGCAAGAATTAAACTCTGTCCAAGCCAAAGCTGAAAATCTTTTTGTTGTTCTCCAAATGCTGTAGCAAGGGTCTACAACAAGCATCTATTGGCAGGAGCTAAAGCCATGAAACAGATCACCACTGTTTAATGAATTCTGTTTTCGGAATAGTCTAAAGGAGAAAACGTGGTGCGTCACTGAGAATAGGGTAATTCTACAGAACAAAAGCACCTCTATCCACAAAGTTGTTCAGGGAAACATCGCTATGGAAATGTCAATAACTCCTTACATTATAAAAAGGTGATTTTTTTTACTATCTAGTAATTCACAAACATAATAAGTCCTTCACAATCCTCAATTAGCATCTCACAAACAGAAGTTAACATGGAGGTTAATTTAATGGAGCTCAATTGAAATAAAAAATCTGAATATAAAGTACACCTGTATAAATGCAGTTTTATACAAAAAGAGAACTAATTCAAGGAAGAACCTCATGGTTAACCAAGATTAAAGATTTCCTCAACAAATACCATAAAGCAGATATAAAACGTACTGACCTAATTGCCCAGAAATCGAAGCCTTCCCACTGGAACCACACGAACCATACCCATAGCCGCCACCCTCAGGACCTTCACCCCTCCTCATCTTCTTACCTACAGAACCACCATCATCATCGTCGTCATCATATTCCTCCTCGTAATACTCTCTCCCTCTGAACAAGCCCTTTTTCACTGCCCCACCATACCCCGCACCTACATTCGCAGCAGGAGACGGTGACAAATGCTGCTGCTGCTGGTGATGATGGGCCACGGCGGCAGGACCCGCCACCGGATAATTCGCATTGACATGTTGTCCCCTGGACCCACCAAGGATGCTACGAATTGGAAGGAGGAAATAGAACTCTTTATCTCCGATCTGAAGAAGGTCTTGAGAATCTAGCTTGATGGGTGGGGTACCGGGAAGGTGAAGGACACCTTCAACTGAACACCCGTTTTTGCCCAGTACTTCGAGGGCAAAACGACGTCGTTGGAAGTCGTAGAAGATGCGGGCATGGTGTCGGGAGATGTTCATTCCGCCACCGAGAGATGATAAGTCGACATCCACCGTTGATTTTTTGGAATTCCGGCCGAGGATTATGGAGTAAGTTTGCATGTAATACTCGAAATCTTCACCTTGTAGCTTCGCGAATCCCGCTTCTACATCGCTACCGCTGCTGCTTCCCATCTCAATGGACTATTAGGTGATGAATAACCGAAGTTCCTTTCTCCGGCAAAGAATCTCCGGCGAGAAAAAGAGCGCTTTGAAAAGGGAATACACAATTGAGTCCGATGAAGTAGAGGCTGTCAGTAGGGATTTTTATGCTATTCTAAAAAGCAAAAACAAACAGAATTTGGTAATTAGCAAATATTTATTTGAGAAAAAAGCACAAATATTTATAGAAAATTATCTAAATACACCACCTATTTTATCATATTCTTTAAAAAAAAATTATCATAAAACTTACAATAATCCTTATTCTCTCATATTTTTTAATACATCAGTCAGATACATTATTTTATGCGATGTATCGTGACGTACGCAATGTATCGAGACGTTGAGTAATGTATCTGAACCCGAGACATAGTGTATCGGAAAGTTGAGGAATGTATTCAAAATCGGAACACAATGTATCAGAACGTTTTGAGATATATCCGGATTCCACCAAATTTAAGCATTTTTTGTAATTTGGAATGTAATAAACTCTTAACACCGTGAGATTTGTGTAAAATTTTCAATATTTATTGGGGGAAAAATACCCATGTAATCTTACCTATACAGTTTATTTTCAGTTTTCAAATGACCTTCGACTTAAGTAAACATTACAACATGGATTTTAAATGGGACTACAATCTAATTACAATTGAGGGATAAGATAATAAAAGAGTATAGAATAGACAATGTTCGACTACATATTAGTCTTCTAGCTTAATTTTTTATATTCTTGTACTTATGATCATATCCTCGATAAGCAGTGACGAGGTCAAAATTTTCACTAAAGAGGTTTAAAATATGAAGAATTAAATAAAAGAAAAGTCGAATGGTTCAACATCTACTATATATATA